TCTGCATTGCCTCAAGTGTACCTGGTCTGTGTAAAATTGTTTTTCGTGGTAAGGTACATGTTGGATGTTCACGGGTCATTAAAAAACAAATCCACCCCAATTATTTGGCAAATATTTTATACTTGACATAGTACCAACAGGCATTTAACTGCATCATAGCTAGTACTTTATGAAGAATAAACTTAAAACTCACACATAAACTGAAGATTCAAGTTTTGTAAGATTTTGCTTGAAAATTACTCATTTTTGAATTCCATAAAAAAAGAAAGATACATGGGGACTTGCTTTTTTCCGGAACAGTAAAAACCAACATTAAACTACACAATACAAATTGCAGCATCACTCTATTGGTCATGAACAAGGAGTTCATTTCTCCCCTTCTTTTGGAAATCTTTTCTGCAGTTGAAATTGAAACTAAATCAGTAACTGGTCTTGAAGGGCCTGTAAACTTTGAGATCAGTAACAACTCCGGCAAAGGACCTGACCGCGGCAGCAATGGAGATGATGAGGCAGGCAGCGCTTAAGATTTGGAGGCAAAGCCATCTAGTGCTCCATTTTGGTATCTGTTTTTGCACTATGTACATCTCCACTGGGAAATAAACTGTGAGTGGCCAAAACCCGAACGCTCCGAGAATTCCAACAATGTCATTGAAGAATGGCATGAGCATTGATATAATTGTGGTTATGATCACAAAAATTGTTCTCCAAATCAACCTGAAAAGATTGAGTTTGAATGGCTTGAAGCCCGGGATTGGGATTTCGATTTCTTTGGTGATGAATTGACTGTTGGGAAACCAATCTGTTGCAGTTTTTTCAATGAAGGCAAAGAGGGGTTGGCAGTAAACTTGGTATGCACCAACAAGGTGGATGACTATGGCAGCATTGGCTATGTCAAGAAGCCAATATGGGTTATAGAATCCGAACCCGGTTAGGAGGTTTCCGGGTGCCATGTCTCCGAAAGCAGCATAGCCAAAGCAGCCACAGAACATGTAGAAAATGGTTGTTACTACAACACTCAGTAGAGTTGCCTTCTGCATTGTCTTGGCTTCTGTTGGTGGGGCTTTAATAGTGTCCTATCATATATTTATGCAAGAAAACATATTTAGTAAGAACAACATCAGCAGAAAATGGAAACAAAGCTCTGTCTGATGAATCTAGGAGTGAGAATATACCTGAATTTCAATAAGGATGAGAGAGTAAGAATAGGCAAAGGCTATGGCTCCAAGTGCTTGGAAGCTCCTCCATATTTTTTGGGCTTGGGTTACAGTGCCAATGCTTATTCCAGTCAGACTTCCTCTGAATTTCCCAGTTTCTGATCATGAAGAAAAACAAAGCTATTCGATAAATACTTATTTTATACTTTTTTCTCTAATGACTTAAGCTATTAAAGTAGTTCGTGATTCAAAGAAGGCTCGAGACAATACACCAAACTAGGACTAAATCAGAAACTGAAGCTTATTTTACCTACAACTTTTCCCATTCCGAGGCCAAGGCCAATTGAAGAGTAAGTAAAGGACATGACTGCTGCAACAATTGAGAGCCATGATATCTGATCAAAGTCTGGAATCTGAGAGAAAATAATTTCTACCACACCAAACACGATCATATAAGGATTGCTTGATACTTTGCAAGTATTTTTCCCTTCACTCTCGTGGAAGCAATTAGACCTTTTGATTGCCCTGTTTGATCAAAACCCACTCCCTCATTAGCACAAAAATTTCCCAAACACCAATTATATTAAAAACGAAACTATTTTCAAATGCCATACTCACATCATGCTTATAGATGCTGCAATGGTGTATCCAATAGCAACTCCGAAGAGATTCAAATACTGAATTATCCCACAAATTTTGACCTTAACACCACCTGAAAAGATTAAGAAAACATAAAATTCAATTCAATATTAGAAGTTCTGAAAAGAACCCACTTGCCAATTTGTCTGAAACTTTGAAATTTAAAGAAACATTTACCAAGATTGGATCGAACAGCCTCCATGTAAGTGTAATTCCTCTTGCCAGTGACAGGGTCTCCAGAACGGTAACAAGCAGCGAGAAGAGTAGAAGTGTAGTAAGTCACAAAGGAGAACAAGAACAAGACAGTAGGGCCGGCAATCCACCCAAGCTGCGCAGTTGCCCAAGCCAAGGACAGAACCCCAGACCCAATCACAGCTGTGATTATGTGAGCACTAGCAGTCCAAACAGTCCCTATTTTTACACAACCAAGAAAAATTATGAGCAACCGACTAAACACACAGTCACAATTGTGATTCTGCAGATATATGGAATATACCATTTCTTTTGAGACGACCATCGTCGTCGAAGCATTTGGAACCACCCTGAGGTGGCACATTGAGCGAAACATCAAAAAAAACTTGGTGATTAGCATGATTCTGGGTCTTTGAAGCAGTGTTTTCACCCATAGTTGTAAGCATAGGAGACCAAAAAATGATCAATTATTTATCTTTGTTAAATAATATGCATACAAAGCTGTATTATATCTATCAGTGAATGATCTTTAAATTTTCTGCACGCAGTGACAGTGAGCTGTATAAGAACTTGACACTTGTCAAGAAAAAAATACAGAAACCAAAATGGATTTAAGACTTCTGGCAAGATGGGTAAGCTTGAATTGAACAAAGGACAAAGGGCAATTGAAGTTATGTGTGAGACTCTTTGATGGTGAGTGAAAGAGAAGGGAGTGAAATGAGATTGGTACACCGAGAGGAGGGAATTGAGGGGGTATATATGGGTGCTGGAAGGGGCAGGAAGAAGGTGCAGAAAAGCCACGTGACAAAAAGACCCAAGGTGAACGCGTTTCTCAACAATCCACTTCGTGTATAAACAAACCCATTACTCGACTAAACAACCCACTCAGACGGTCAGGGTTTAGAGGATTGACTCAACATTGGTCTCTCTCTCTCTCTCTCTCTCTCTCTCTCTATATATATATATATATATATATATATATATATAATATAGATCCTCTCTAATACACTTAATAAATTCATTGATTCGGTACCGAAAAACAAATGTTCCATACCGTATCGACATTTATTATTTTTATAAGTGTTTTTATTACTGTTTTGATAATGAAGAAAAATAGTAAAAATGGTTATCGTAATAGTAAATGGGATAAATTATTCATAAAAGTGGTAACTTTTTTTTTTTGTACTAAAAAAAGTAGTAAAAATAATTATCAAAATAGTAATAAAAATATATACAATAGTGATAAAAATACCCATAAAAATAATAAATCACTCACAAAAGCTGCAAAAATATTCTTTAAAGTAGTAAATTTTAGAGGTACAAATTTTTACTGTACTCAAGTCCAGAAAGATGTGGGAGTGAGAAATTATGAATAGTTAAAATGACATAAAATATGAGTACCTTAGGTAGGACTGAGATCCATTTTAATATATATTTTCTCTTTATTTTTTTTTGATAAATTATCTATCATAAATTCAAGTAACACCCATTTTATATAAGTGGAACCTTCATTAATACATTGTAAATAATTTGTCAAGAAAAAGGAAGAAATGTGTATCGGAGGATATTTTGCTCCCTATACCTAGACACCAAACACTTCTCTCTCCCACTTCTTTAAGAATAGTAACGCATACTGTCCCCACAATATTCCCACTTCTACTTTTTTTAATATAAGAACTAAAACGTAATGGTAGTTAACAAAAAGACAATTTCATCTCATAATGTATTGTGGGGATGCGATTGGTTTGGAAGGTGTAGAATGAATAATGAATGATGCAAGAAAAGTAGGGATGGAAACCGATGAGCCTATATTTAGACCAGGCCTGGGTTCAACTATCAAAAGACCGAACATGCTTAGTTCATGACCTCAGTCTAATCTAAACCTAAGAATCCAACAAGAGTCAATGTACGCGGGAGAACAATCATTGTGATAACCATTATTTCAAGATAGTACTTATCCCCAATAGTAGCTATCCTCCTCGATAAATTAGTAGCTTGACTTTTATGTCATTGCAACAGGTAAGACTCTGTGCCTATAAATTGTAAACTCCCCTACACATGGGGTTGATCTGACACACCTCACCTTAACCGTACTCTTACTCTCTATCTCTCTCCAACTACCTTGTACTCTCTCATTAATAGAGTTCTCCAGTTACTGTTGCTGACTTCAGTGGTTAGGTCACCCAGACCTAACAATTCAATCTTTATCTCTTATTATTGATTGTTTTATTACTTACTTTACACCACACACTCGACTGATATGATTGTGCATAAATTCACTTTTGCGTATCATCAGTTTGATGCTATCTGTGGGAACGATTTGATTCTCACCCTATAGTCTTCCTACCTTCAAGACTACCTTCAATGACACTTATAACTAGATCCATGAACCACCAAGCGGAAGATGACTTGCCGCACCATGTCGCGGTCCCGTCATCACTGGCAATCTTTGTCCCCGAATTCCAAAAACTGTTAAAGACCATGCAACACTTGGTTAACTAGAACCAGCAAATCCTCACACTGAGGATATTGCCAAAGCAAGGTAGGCTGAGTCCTCACATAGAAGGGAATAGGAAAAGCAGACACATGCAACTTCTACTTCGTCACTAATTTGTAGTTAAAATTTAAATGTAGAGAAAAATAAGTATTTTTTGGAAAAATTTGGTGCCCAAACTACCGTCGATAGTTTGATTGTGGTAGAACTCAAAAAAATTATCCGGATTAAAAACAATTCACCTAAAACGGACAACCGAGTACAAAGTTATGGTTATTCAAAATTTTGATGGTTTTCTAATACTTTACTTGGCACCCATTGTCCAGGCGCCCGTGCCAACATCCTAGTGTCCACGCATAGCGGCGCCAGTGCCTCGTGCCTTAGCACCATGCCCAGTGGCTTTAGCGCCTAGCGCCAGCTCCCAGCTCCCATCGCTTGTTCCCCGGCCCCCCATGTTCAGCGCCAGTGCCCCATGACCAGCGACGCTAGTGCCAGTGCCCAGAGGCGCCAACGCTCAACGCTTAGCTCCCCGACGCACCATGCACAGCGCCAATGCCCCAGCTCCCATGCCTAGTGGTGCCCAGCTCCCCGGTGCCCGTGCTCCGGCGCGCTTGCGCTTGTTGCCAAATACCTCGGCGCCTAGTGCTCACTCCTAAGCGTTTGCGCACCCTTGCCTTGGTAACCTTGGCGCCTTCCTCCTCGTTCCCGCCTTCGCCTTGACGTCTACCTCTTCGCCCACTTGAGCACACCGCCAGCATCGCGTGCCCTGCTCGTCCAGTAGTGCCCTTAGTGCCTGCTTTCACCCTTCTTGGTGCATCAAGTGAACTCCCCTCCCATGCTCTACGCTCATGCTACGCCGACTCTATCTTACCGGTGCCCTTTGGTTACCCTCATTGTCATCTTCCTCCTCTTTTTCGTCTCTTAGGAGAAGCCTCCCGAGTCGCTAAAAGCTTGACTTACATTTGTCTCTGCTCTCACACAAGCAGCCTCAATCCCCATCTTAGCAACTCTCTCGCGAGTCGCTAAAAACTCGGCCTCAATCTGTCTCTGCTTTTACGCAAGCAGCCTTAGTCTCCAGTTTAGCGGTTCTCTCAGGAGTCGCCAAAAGCTCTGGCTCTTTCTGCCTCTACTCTCACGCAGGCAGCCTCAGTCTCCAACTTAGCGATTCTCTCACGAGTAGCTAAAAACTCAACCTTTTTCTGTCTCTGCTTTCATACAAGCAGCCTTAGTCCCCAGCTTAGTGGCTCTCACACGAGTCTCCAGAAGCTCAGCCTCACTCTAGCTCTAGTTTCACACAAGTAACCTTGGTCTCCTAGAAGCTCGGTCTCACTTTATCTTTGCTCTTATGAAAGCAGCCTCAATCCTTAGCTTAACAACTCTCTTGCGAGTCGCCAAAAACTCTACCTCACTCTGTCTCTACTCTCACGGAAGGAGCCTTAATCTACACCCTAGCGGCTTTCTCACGAGTCATCAAAAACTTGGCATCTTTCTGTCTCTACTCTCACACAAGTAGCTTCAGTCTCCAACTTAACAGCTTTCTCATGAGTTGCCAAAAATTTTGGCCTCTTTTACCTCTACTCTCACGCAAACAGCCACAGTCTCCAACTTAGCAACTCTCTCATGAGTCACTAGAAACTCGACCTCACTTTACCTCTTCTTTCACGCAAGCAGCCTTAGTTCCTAGCTTAGTGGCTCTCTCACGAGTCGCTAGAATCTCGTCATCACTCTGCTTTTGCTCTACATAAGCAACCTCTGTCTCCTAAAAGCACGACCTCAAGAGGTGTTGCTCTCTCATGAGTCAATCTCAACTGCTCCTCAGCAGCCTAGCGCGTCCATCTCTCTTACACCAAAGCTCTTGACACCTCATCAAGTTTGAGCATCCTCTAAGGCATGAAAAAGTTGCCGCTATATGCGAATATCAGAAAGCAAGAGTGTCAGTATGACCAAAACATACAGAAGACAAGGTTCTATAGAAAAGAGGGGTACCATAGCAAAACCCTCCATCGCGGTATCAATGATACCCTCATGACCCCGAGAGTCGACCTTTATAATATTCGAGGGTGTCACAAACCTCCAAAGCCTCACTTTAGCCAAATTCACATCCTTCAGCATGGACACAAGGCTACTGCTAGAAGCAGGACAATTATGCGAAGTACTGGGAGCATCAAACCCCACCTTCTGATAGACAGTAAGACCATCGGACCTCAGCTGGGAAGCATTGGGGGTATCAGATCTTACCCTCTTGGGGAAACTAAATCAACATCCTTCAAGCATCAACTCCCGAATCAACGTTTTGATCCATATCAACTCCAGTTCTACATTCTCACCTAAGCCTGCCTCAATGTCAACCTTTAAATATAAAAAATGTTTAGGGGTAAACACAACTAGCTCAGTAGAGCTACAAGCCTAAAAAAATTTGCAAAAGTAGCTAGGTCACAACTTCCAAAATAAATATATAACTCCTGAAAGAAAATATGTAAGTAAAGATGATCTCATGTGTTTTATGCATGAACTTGGAAAATAAATCAAATAATATGGTCAAGAGAGTAAACAGTTTGATTAACAAGAATATCTGCATATAGAAATATATCCGGTTCAAAACATCACAATCACAAATCATATAAATCCCCGGAGGACTTTAGGAAGTACTAATAATGATGCATCAATATCTAACCAATTCTCCTAAGGAGTAATAGAAACCCTTGGAACCTCACAAGAAATTAAATACATCTACTAACCCTCTGCCTTGGTCAACTTGAACGAAAATGGTGGGAACCTCGTAAGGAACCAAACACATCTACTAATGGACAAATCTGTTTGAAAACAGAGCTCTTTTAAATGAGTTTTCTCATGATTTTATTAAAGCGATATTCTCCCTTATGGCGAGGTTTCTTAAATCCTTACTTCAAGATCGTATCAGAGAACTCGAGACCTAGCTGAGGAGTCATGCTGCTACAAAGCAGGAGAAGAGAGTTAACTTTCTGTTGAGTGGAATCAAATCAGGAAATGCAGTAAACTCCGGTATTCATAAAACAAGCAAGGATATAGTGAAACATGTATGAGACCATAAATAAACAGTCTCGTGTATTCATCATTTAAAATCTAGAGTTTGTGAACTCAAAACACAGTAGGAGTATAAATCATGTATTTTTTGACAAGATACTTTTTAAAGAGATCAAAACCAAATCTAGATCTATAATATTATATGAATAGGAGTAAAAAATTTACATAAATATAGCCCTACCCTCCATGTTTAGAAAAGTGAAGAAAACCCTGCCTTAATTCGGTCAAAGTTGATTCCTACATGTCTTTCGTTGTGTTCTACGTTCTAATCTCAATGATCATTGGCCCGGTCCACTCTTCCTCCTCCTCTCTAGGCCGTCCAAATCTCTCCTAGACTCCTTAGGACTGAAAAACGTGCAAAATATCTCTAAAAACTTATTCAGTACGTCTTTTTTCTTTTTCTTTAATTTCTTCCAATCAGTCACTACCATTAGATAGCGTGCCCTCCAGCAGAATTTGATTCTATATTTTTACTAGATTGTAATTGGGATTCCACTTAGGTTTTGGTTCTGAATATGGCTCCAAGGAAAAAAACCCCGAACCAGTAACTAGCTACCAACTTAGGTTGGATATACCTCGTTAGAATATATGGAATAAGAGGATTTGACAGATCAATATTTCAGGTTTTTATGCTCGAGTATTAAAAAATAAAAAAAAAAGTAGTTAACTCAATACAAGTGGTTTGTGGATAATAGCGCATATATATATATATATATATATATATATATATATATATATATATATATATATATATAGCCAAATTCACATTGTAATTCCGAGTTTAAAGGGCATAATTTTAACAATTTTTTGGTTTTTTTTTTAAATATTATCTTGAATTGAAATGTAATTGTTTTTACTTATTTAAAAGAACACATTGCAGCAACAGTTAGGAGATTACATTTCTTTTGCTAGAATGGGTCCTCCTCTTATAACATGACATTGCAGCCTACTAAAAACCCTACTAAATATTTAAATTAAATTTATCAGTGATAGAATAAGGTTAGTAAATATACATGGCAAAATTGGAAACACATGTAGGCTCTTTTTTTGATTACCTGTTGTTTACATTATAAGAAGAACCCATTAAGCCTTTTAGTTTCACCCCACATTTTTATTCAAAGTCCATATTTAAGTTGGATGTAACTTGATTGTTTGAAGAATATTTGCAGCCGTTGTTATAAAGGTCAATTCAATAGGTACCATTGTAAGTGAGGTGCAATCTTGACCACTTAATGAATGGTAGAATTCCCTTGAAAATGGTCATGATTAGGAACTCCAAGATAAGAATTTAGTGGGACAAAAGACATAATGCACTTTAGGGGGTGTGATAGCAACATCGACCGTGTTTGAATCGTGCAATTTAATTTAGATTTGTATCGAATATTAATTAATTGTTAATCTATTATTTAAAATATTGTGTCATATGAGCTAAAACCAACACAATCTATTAATTAATTGTATCATGTTTGGATTGACAAGAATAACTCTTGAAACAAAAAAACTCAGGATTAGGTCTTCCTCTTCTCTCAACCAAACCCATCACACATACGCCTCTCTTTACCCAAATGGCCTTGACAAGTTAAAAGGGTTATTCATGTTTAATGCTTATACAATTTATTTATTATTTATAATTAGAGATTCAAGTTCTTATAAAAAAACTAGTCAACCGCATAATCATTAGTATTAAAATGGATTCATAAGGTGATAACATACTCTGTATGGAATCACCACTCACTTGTCCTTTGACCAAGAAAGTTTAATGAGTTGACTAACTTACCTTTTTTGCGGTTTGTATTCGTCGACAATTCCCGACAATAAAAAAAATTACAAAATATTTCCATACATGGAATAAGTTTGCTCCAGTTGACCCTCGACTACCATCCTTTTTTTTTTTTTTTTTTGATAAATGACTACCATCCTTTAAAAAGAAGGAAATCCAAAAAGAAACTCGAGTTTTAACATATGTATAAACAATTACGATAGATATAATAGTTTAACTTTTTTCACTTGAAAAATAATATATGGTAAAGAAATGTGAGAATCCTCAACATTGAGCAATTGTATTCATCCGTATACATACACCTACAGATTGCATGTGATTTAGATAACATAAGGCAATAATTTAAATAGCATTTACACAAGAGTACAACAGTCACCGTCTATTATATGGTATTAGCTATATTTTTTTTTTCCTCCAGCTAATCTGTCAATGAAGTTCAACATTCTCATTTCACAGTGAAGCATCATATATATATATATATATATAAGCGCCAAAGTGGACAGCTGATCAGTAAGACAAACACAGCCAGCATTTGGAATCAAATCTTCCAACAGTTAGATTGTTATTCCTTAAAGTGGTCGACATTTGTATTCTTATGAAAGTTGATTTTCAAACTTGAATCCATGAGTATTTGTTATTATCACAAATCTGATCTTTTCTGTTACATTACCAACAAAAATACGTTTCCTTTGTAATATAATCTGATTAGGGCTGGCTCAAGACCATGAGAGGCCTAAAGTGAAAATTCCGAGGTAGATTTTTTACATTTTTTGTATGTTATCTCATTGTTTGAGATACAATATATGCTATTCAAGTTTTTGTAAGAAATTTTTTCTAACATATTATCTGTAATTAGTAGTTTGATTGATCTTTTTAATCTTTGTTGTATCATAGTCAATCTTAGGTAGGAATTTTTTTAATTTTAATTTTAAAAATTCTTTTTTACGCAAATAACTGCTTAAATTTAGCATTAATAATATATTGCAAGCAATGCATGAATATGAAAAAAAAAAAAATAATCTTCACACGTAATTCAGAACCTCAATTGAAA